CCGATTTGTTCTCAAGCACATGAAGAGCGAAGACATTTAGGGGCAATGGTTTTCCACATGTGACAGCCTTCCTTCAAGAAATGTGGCAGTAGTAAGGGGAGGAGTCACATCATCATGTTGGAATATGTTCCCATTCTTTCTCAAATATCTGAGGTCTGAGACTAGGAAGTGCTGTACCTGGCCAACTTCTCTCTTCCTCCCTCGCAGCCAATGTAATAAAGACTACAGAGACCTTCAAAAGGTGGGCCATGGGCAGTGTTCCCTCTAAGCTGAGTTAGTGTGAGCTAGCTCACAGTTTTTTGGCCTCCAGCTCACACATTTTTGTCTTAGCTCAGGAAGGATGGCTCCAGAGCAAACTAATTTATGTCACAGCCAAATGGCTCACTCGCAACTTTAATGCCAGTAGCTCACAAAGTAGAATTTTTGCTCACAAGACTCCACATCTTAGAGGGAACATTGGCCATGGGCCAAATTTGGTATACAGTAGAATGTCTTCTGGCCCTTCTGTTTCCAACTAGTGGCAAAAAAGGTGTCAGCTTACATCAATGGGACTTACTTGCAAGGCAATATACAGGCATCTGTATGCATGCACATGCATGATCTGAATGCAATTTCAAGGGAACAGATGTTTGTATGGGAGATTCTTTTCAGAGGGTGTATAAGCTGTTTGTATTCCTTTGGCCTCTTTAAGAAACCTGACATGTTTGGAAGGGTAATTTGACAAAAGATGCAAGCTTAAAAGTTAGGAACTCAGATGGGTAGAGCCGTCTTGCTTTTAAAAAAAAAAAGCAACAGCCTTACTATACATAGAATCATTTCCTGTTTCTACATTAAAAAAATGTTTTACCATTTTATGGTGCATATAGTCTAATTGCAATAATACTGAATATTCTGACATGACACCAAATTCCATAATAGCACTTCTGACCAGGTCATAACAATCTGTGCTCTGCATAGCAGCCATGGATGAAGCTGGTTATGGAAATCTGCCCAGAGGTCCTCCACTGAACAATTACATCACAATTAGGTCATTCCTGATTGATCATGTGATGTAAAAGACAATGACCCATTTTATTTATTTATATATTAGGTTTTCGTATTACAGGGATATATTTTGTTAACAAGGGAACAGATTGGGTAGAATATTTTATCGGCTTATTGATGCATGTATTGTGTGGGGGAAAGGTGCTAGTGAAGCCATTTTAACAGTAGAATATAGGCATGCCACCGCATGCAAATGTGGACTTGCATGTACAAATGGAAGTGTGCTGTAACAACCAAGGTATTAAGAAAGGGATACATGCTCAAGTAACTTGGCACCCTCATACAATCTCATGTCTGTTTTTCCAATATTTTGAGTATTCCCAATATAACTACACAACTGCTCAACTACTGAAATACTAGTGAGCCAGTTCACTATCCCACTTATGAACAGAGAGAAAGAGGAACAAGTCTATTATTTTCTATGGACTCTTTGAATCACTGTTTTTACATTTTGACACATATGTTTGAAATGCAACACTGAGAGAACACTTGCAAAGTGAATACTAAAAATAATGTTTCCATGTATTTTGCAGATTCTGTGTACCCCATTAGAATACAACCATGAACAGAATGCACACCTTAACATTTTAATAGATGTCTCTTTCCATTTTTATGTGCAAACAAACAAGTCCAGTTTGGCATTCTATACGGTCTCCCTGTTGTATTTAAGAGAACAATTACAGAGATACCATCTTAAGTACTCTGCTTTGTGAATACCCAGATTTTACATTTCAGATACTGGCTTCTGGAGACTGTCTGATCCAAAAACCCAATCTTGCAAAGCACAGAAACAATGGCTTAAGAATGGAAAACATGTGTGGGATGTATTAAATCTAAATTACAGACTCAATCGAGAAAAACTCAAGCACATTAAAGTCTGAATGAAATAAGTGTTCAACTGTGCATTTGTCCCATTTTATGAGATCAGTACAAATACTGGAGTGTAGTTAGCATCAGGTAATAACAGGGACATCTTCCTTCATCCACCCATAAACACCCTCTCCGTCAGGGAATGCACCAAGCAGGTCACATTAAACTAAAGAACAGGTCCCCCCCCCCAACAATGGGATGTTTAGACATCTTCCTAAATGCAAGGCATTTGTCTGTGTTATGCTTTTTGGATGGAATATATTCATGCATTGTGTAGTGGAAAAGAGTCACCCAACTTTCAAGTCAAAACAACACGTACTTATTCCAGAATCAGCATATGATTCAGTGGACACTGATTATTAAAAGGTTATTGTGGGTTGTTAGAGGGGTTGACCATTGTGACTCAGAACTGTCATTTGCAAGTTCATCCATCCAGCTCCAAAAGTCATTCATGGGATCAACTCTAAATTCCCACCCAAATGCAGTGGTTTCTCTGCTGAGGTCAGAGTACCCCCCCACATATCTGGTGGTAGAAGGTATGATTCAGGCACATGAAACATGACAGGACAGGGGAGGCCTGAATTCTGAAGGAGCTTGTAATACTGCACGTACTGAAATTGTTTGTGATCTTGAAACATATTATTGTTCACAGGAGCCCAACCATCGGAAATGCAAAAACCCAAACAAAACCTGCTATGGACAGTGATTTACATGCACTTATTTCTATCTCTGCTGGCATGCAATCATTCCCCCCCCTTCCCCGAGGCACTCAATTATTTTGGGTTGCATTTGGTGACAAAGCATCTTTATAATCAAATGAGCTCTGTTATTAAAATGGGTCAATTTCTTTAGAGTCTTCCTATTATAAAACCCTGATTTAGAAAGAATCTTGCATACTGTTACAGAACTCTCTCTCTCTCCACCCACACCCACACACGAAATACAGTTTAGTCCTGTGAGCAAATCATTTGGTCAGTCCTGCATCATCTGTGATTGCCCCTGCCCACCCTTGACCCTAAGCATCATGGACCCACCCTGCACGTTGGAGGGTCGGATCACTTGTTTTCACTGCCTGTCACATATGGCAAAAGCTGATATGTTGTCAAATTTACAGGAGACCATAGTGCAGTGATGATTGGTTGGTGGCTTGCAAACAGAGCAGGGCAGCATTAAACTGAACTATTACAATCGAAAAATGCAACAGTGATAGGAAAACAACCTCTGACAAAACCAAGGACAACCCTGTGAGTTTCCTTTGGCAAGACATTTTACCAAAGGTATTTCAGTAGCATTTTTGTTCCTCAGCAAGTATACTTATTGTGTCAAAACATCTCAGATATAAACTCCATGTAATAAAATGTAGTCTGACTAGAAGATTCTCAAATACTAAACACAACCTTAGTAGGTGAAGATTAAATCTTGTGGCACTTAGACAATAAGATAAATTTATAAAAATCCTGTAATGGTTATATGATGCCACTTCCAACAGAACAAAAGCCTAACTACAAATATACGTTGATGGGGTCTGAACTGGTAGTAACTGACCAGGAGAGAGATCTTGGAGTCATGGTAGATAACTCACTGAAGATGTCAGCACAGTATGTGACTGCAATAAAAAAAGGCAAATGCTATGCTGGGATTATCAGCCAGTATTGTAATGCCTCTGTATAAATCTATGGTGCAGCCTATTTGGAATACTGTGTACAGTTCTAGGAAACTAATATGATTAAGGGGATGGAACACAATCCCTATGAAGAAAGGTTAAAGAGGTTAGGGCTTTTAGCTTGGAGAAATGATGACTGAGGGGCAACATGATAGAGGTTTACAAAATTATGCATGGGATAGAGAAGATAGAGAAAAAAATACTTTTCTCCCTTTCTCACAATAAAAGAACTTGTGGGCACTCACTGAAATTAGTGAACAGTTGACTTAGAACAGATAAAAGGAAGGACTTCTTCACCCAAAGAGTCATTGACACATGGAATTCGTTGCCACAGGAAGTGGTGGTGGCTACAAGCATAGACAGCTTCAAGAGGGGATTGGATAAACATATGGAAACGAGGTCCATCAGTGGACATTAGCCACAAGGTATAGATGGCTTCTCTCTCTGGAGCAGTGTGATGCTCTGTATTCTTGGTGCTTGGGGGGCAACAGTGGGAGGACTTCTACCGTTCTGGCCCTCCTGATGGCATCTGGGTTTTGGTCACTGTGTGACACAGAGTGTTGGACTGGATGAGCCACTGGCCTGATCCAACATGGCTTCTCTTAGGTTCTTAAAATATCAGAGGCCTCACAACAATAAAAAGAGATTCAGCATCTTTTCCCTCAACAGCATCCTGCCATTGTGAATCATAGCAATGTAACACTTTGTGCTCACACTCACTCCTGTATGTTCAAATTCTCTCTCTCTCTCTCTCTCTCTCTCACACACACACACACACACACACACACAGACACACACACAGACACGTCACATCAGACTGCTAATATGACATGAAAGCAGAACTATGCATTACACCCAACACAAGACTGCTGGCTGGAAAATGGATAGCCTGTGCTGAATTCTCCCCATAGTGTGTCAAATCACTTAACCCATGTTGCAATATGTTCATAGTGTGCGTTTCTCTGCCCCTGCCAGTGGCTGCCAGCAACATGGAGCGGCAGTGGGGCAACTTGCAATCTAATGGAGTAAAATGTGGCCTCAAGCTCTCTCTCTGAATGGATAGAGAAGGGGAGATCATCACAAGGCATGGTGTTTCAGACAGCAGTCCTGGATTGGGTTAGACCATCAGTTTCACTCTTTGCCGAGAAGTGCAGGAGAAAAGCCTTAGACATCAACATATGCATATCCACTGATTCAATGGAATAAATTAAACCCTAACTCATTCAGCCTGGACAGTTTCTTGCACTCGGTATCAGTTGTTTGTAACAGCTAAGGAATAATACTTCTCTAAATGCATCAAAAATGGCAACAATGAAAGTGGAGGTTATTTGCATGATTGCGGTTTGGCGGCCTTTGCAACACTGCCAAACAAGCATGCCCCCACGATTCCTTTAGTTCTTCATTTATTCAGTGCATGGGGCAGGATTCTAAGTCTGCTGTAGGTCTGGTTAAAAATAAACGCACCAACAACTTGGTGGCTTCTGAAAGGAAGGTCCCCCCCCCCATTTCTCCATGTATCACTAGGAGAACAGAAGCAATAGGAGGTCCACGGTAGCTTCACAGGTCCCCTCCAGACGAGGTATATAGTGTTATACATAAATGCCCTCTGGGTTAAAACCAGACGACAGCGGGTTCTGCAGGATCCGAAGGTTGCTGGGAAGCTGCCTTGATGAACTGGGGCGCTTCAGGCTTCCGGATTGAAATGGAACTTCTGGGGGAAAGCAGAGATTTGTTAGCAAGAAATTATTCATTTCTCTATTTAAACCTAAGAATATTACATGCAGTAAATCCACAGGATCTGGTCAAAGAGAAGCAATTTTATATCCTGCTTGTTTCAACAGAAGAGACTGAACTACATTGCTGAATTATGCATGTGTCATTCTGTCCATTCCAAGAGTTTTGCTAGGTAAGAGGACGTAACAGACTAAAATGTTGCGCATATTGTCTCGGCCTCTTCCTTCTTCCTCTGTCCTGCTGTGTCACCTTTCATTGTCTACATTCAGATTTTAAATTCCATGGGGCAGGGATCTTTCTTTTGTTTATCTTACTTGGTATAGTCCCCAAGACACTCATGGCAGTATGAACATCTTCCATTAATAGGGATGTAAACTTTGACAGCTATTGTATGATACAGCTATCATTCTCTCCCCCCCCCATCCATTGTGCCCTGTGTGATTCTCACCAGGGAAAAAAGGGATCAGAACTGTCACCTCCCAGCTCTTTAGAGCAAGCTGCCCAGTATTATTCATCAATGCCACATTCAAACCTTCATGGGGGCACTGCCATTTGTATACTGTTCCTCTCTTTTTTGGTTTACATATTACTGCTCACCGCCCTTTAGGTATCTATTGTAGCATTTTCATTTTAACCAGGGCTTTTTTTGTAGAAAAAGCCCAGCAGGAACTCATTAGCATAACAGGCCACGCCCAACAGCAGACTCATTAGCATATTAGGCCGCACCCCTGATAGCACAGCACATTAGCATATTAGGCCACACCCCCATGCCACCAGAAGTGTGGTCATCCAGCCACGCCCACCTTTTGCTTCTTATTCTGTTTACCTTGTTTGTTGTTAAAACCCAGGGCTATTTTTGTAGCAGGAACTCCTTTGCATGTTAGGCCACATACCCCTAATGTAGCCAATCCTAATGAGTTTCTGCTGTTGGGTGTGGCCTATTATGCTAATGAGTTCCTGCTGGGCATGGCCAACTCAGGAGCCAGCCGGAACTCCATTCTTGTGCGTTCCTGCCCAAAAATAGCCCTGATTATAACTGTTTATTGTGGTGATAAAAGATTTCATTTGGAGAAATGTTTTTGAATTATGAGAAATCTTTAAGGATAAGACTCCTAACTAATTTAAATTAATCCCTCTTGGCCTGAATTCCCCAGGGAAACGGGAAGAGGCAGAGGGCGTTTCTTCACCAAGGAACTCCCAAGGCATACCTCTCTCGAACTCCATTTGTGAAGCCTCCAGTTCAGAGGGTTCTGCAGGCAGCACAGTAACCTTGGTCCCTGTTTGCTGGATAAATTGTTGGAGATTCACTTGCCGCAGCTCTTTGGTCAGCTGCTCGAGTTCTTGTTCTCTGTCCTGAGAAGAAAGGTGTCCAGACAAGCTTATTTACTTTCGCACAATTAAAAACAACCACCACCAAGAGATCATATTGCTTCATTTTAAACAGGAATGAAAGTGGGTGGTGCTTGACAGAGGAAAATACAGGTTTGCAAAATCTAGGCCAGGGTTCAGCATTTTGCTCCCAACAGATCCCCCCCCCCCCACATACAGACATACTTGTGTTGACAATCACAATTTTGTATACATGGTGCGATATGACACAGCAATGTGGCAGACTGGACATGAGACAAGAGGGCACTTTTATATTAGAAACAGGTGTGTAGTTTAAGCTGTCTGAAACATTTTAAGCCCTCTCCCCTCTGCATTGTTCACAGTATATTATAATGCTTTTATTACATTCGTCTCTCCTGGTGTAATCCAGTTTTATTGCATTGGTTTATTGTATGTATTTATTGGTCTGTATCTCACTGTTTTTATAATTCTTTGATTCCTCTTGAGTAAGTTGCCCATTCCAAGATTCTAATGCTCCCAGCAATAAGCAAAGCAGAACAGATGATTTTTTGGGAGTCAAGACGTGTGGTCCTATCCCCCAAACAGATTTCAATGTCTTTCAGGAGGAGCTGATACACCTCTAGAAATTAAAGAGAGACATTCTGAGCAATCACAGCTGTTTGAGACAAACTCAAAGGAGTTACTAATAGTAGTGACTCAATTTTCCAGCTCCCCACTTTGAACAATCAACAAAATCAAGAAAGTTCGCTAATTTAGATTAATTGTATTAATTGTACAAACCCTCTCAGAATTTATGAAAAATTAGACTTAATTGTTCAGTACTGTCAGAAAGGTATAATGTCTAATCTAACTATCCAAAGGGTTAAAAAGATACAGTTCCAAGGAAAAGGTAAACCCTCAAAATCAATATGTTTTAAGCAAAGTTAAAGGGTGATTTAAATAAAGATTAGACCCTAAGGGAAAATTTGAATCAGATTTAGTTAATGATACTTGTAGGGTTGTTTTGGATATTCATCCTTATTAAGGCAGTATTGGCAGCTCTCCAGGAATCACAACAGATCTTCCAGCTATAGAGATCAATTCACCTTAGGGCTGCCAGCTCCAGGTTGGGAAATTCCTGGTGATCTGGGGGTGAAGCCTTGAGACAGTGAGGCTTGGGGAGGGAAGCAGCCTCAGTGGGGTATAATACAATAGACTCAACCCTCAGAAAGTTTTAAGAGGACAGTGGAGTCCGCAGCAAAAGAGGTAGGCAGTGAGATGCTCAGATTATTTAGCCATCCATACTGCAGGAGGAATCCTCCCCAATCCAAGCTCCATTTCTGCTTTTGCTTCCTCCTTTCTCCCCCCCCCCCATGGCTATCAGATAATCTATCGCTCACTGTCAATGTGGCAGGGCCTGGAGTAGATCCCTGCAGTGGCCATTTCAGAAAATATGGGGGGGGGGATTTAACCCTCCCTGAGTTATTTTTTAACTTTTTGGATTTTTCTGCAGACCCATGGAGTCCCCTGATTCTGTAGTGTGCTCTCTGTTCACGGAAATAAGTATCCACACACAGAGGGGAGTGTTGAGACTTAGATATATAGATATGGCAATATTGCCTCTTTCACATAGGATTGCTAAATCATTGGCTGGAATGGAAGTTAATGTCAGCTAAGGCTGCCATGGTATGGAATGTGTGGGTTGCTCTCCTTGTCTCCCTCCTCCCTTTCCCCCTTCTCTGCTCATCTGCGCGCTGTCCAGTGTCCTTGAAGGTTTTACTCTGCCTGCTCCTAGCTTCCCGCTGGGAATGTAACTGTTGCTTTTTGCCCACGTCTTCAGAAGCTTGCCTATTGGCTTTACTGTATCAGGGGGTCATGTATGAAGGGGGTATATCTGAAGGTTCTAATTATTAGCCCGCCATTCCAGACACAAGAGTTCATGATGTCCTGAGTACTAGCCCTCAATAAACTGAAACTTCTGAAGGAACGTTGTTGAGTGTCTTGACTGGGAAGCCTGACAGTTAAAGCTACAATGGCAGTAGTAAAGTTTTTGTCAACTGTTATTAGACATAAAGATAGGAAGGTTGATATTTAGTTGATTTAAGTTACCTGACCTATTATTGTGAACTGTTCAAAACCACTGGGCTATAAGAATGGATTCATTAAAGAGAGAGAAAGATTCCTCTTGCGTCTCAATGAGGAAGGTGGATGATAAAATGAAATAAAGGACTATCCATAGTCATGTACTCTACATCCCCATGTCTAGGAGTGGTGGTGAAAGACAGAAGAGAGTGTATAGATACATTATGTACACTCTTATACATCTTCACAGCCTCTTGAATCAATGCTGAACACTAAATGCATCTCTCTGAGATCAACGTGTTTCAGCTCCTCTTCTTTCCAGGGCTTCTCTGGTAATGCAACCGGCACATTTAGGGGAAGGAAGCGAACTTGATTTACCCCATGAGGGGTGCAAATCAACAGAAATGTCACTTGTGGGGGCTCCCTTGAACTGAGCAAGAGCAGAATTAAATGGCAAACTTGCAAGCTGATGCCAGGGCAGATACACTCCTATACCCTGAGTTACATGTTACATCATATGTAGGACAGAGGATGTGCAGCCCCATGGTCACATCACATATCCAGAATTTCTGTCCGAGGACCACAGGAATCACTTCACAGCTGCCAGCTAGAGAAAGAAAACCCGGACAAATCCATATTCAGCTCCTGGATTCTAACTCTTTGCAGTAAGATTTCAGAAGTGTCTCGGGTGGCTGAGGAACTTTAATTAAAATGAAAATCAACTTTCTTATCATTTTGACAGCATCTAAAGCAATGATATCACTTAACCATACATGACTCTTTGACAGGCCACCTGTACATCTTCTAAGTACCATTCCCCATGACATCCATCCCATGCTTCAGGAAGCATGCAATTTCTGATAGTTTAATCATTACTGTGGGCCCAAGATACTTGCCCATGGGGAGCAGATAAAGGCTGTGGGGATGTCGGTGTTCTGTGTATGAGGCTGAGTCCACACATGCAACTGATAACCACTGTGGAACACTAGCCCATGAAACAAAACTCCTTGCAACTAGAAAACTTAGCACAGAGAGAAGCTTTAAGCACTACTCCTCCTGGAGAATGAGAGTAAAACTTGAATGGTATTTTTATCTTAGAGAAGCACTTCTTTTTGAACATCCAGTGTAATAAAGAGTTCCAGAGAGCACAAAAGCCTGCATACTGTTTTGTTGCCATAACTCTGACTTGCAATCCCTCACCACCACTCCAGATACACAAGGGCTAGCTAAGGTTCAACGGTGGTTGGAAGAGGCAACCCTATATCTATACATTTTATAGTTATTTAAGCAGGGAGCCACGAGACTTCCCATCCTTCTGCCTTCGCTGGCCCACAGTTCCACCGCCTCCACAGGCCTGGCTGATGTGGCAGCAGTGGCTCAGGCTCCTGCTCTTTGCCCCTTCCAGAAAACTTACAGGGAGGCCCACATGTTTGTCTTGGATTATACCCTGAAAAAGAACTGCCACCCACCACACTCTGCCCAAATGCCTGCTCCCCCCCCCCCGTGGCATACATTTTTTGTGCATTTCATACCATACGAAAGATTTACAAGGCCCAATAACAACGGCAACAACAATTTTGCCACATCCATGCTGCCGAATCATCACAGAAAAAAGAATTAAAATGATATAGTTGATGATATGAAGTAATTTGGAGCAGGGGGGGAAGCATTGCGGGAAGCCACCGGAGGGAGGGGAGGAATTGGGAACGGGGTAGACAATTGATAGAATGAAATGATTTAATTTTATATGTTGTATTCCTGAGAAAATAAAAAATTTGTTTACCGAAAAAAAAAGAAAAAAGAATTAAAAGAAACGAAGGGATTCCTCGGGGAGGCGTGTAGAAAAATGGAGAAAAGTATGTGTAAACACCACATAAATTGAGCTCATGCCCCCAAATAGCACCTAAAGTGCATAATGCTGTTCAATTTTTTTAAAGGGATGGCAGCCACACAGATTGTTATCGGGCAACCTCTCATTTGTAGAATACAAAGTCATTCAGTATAGGTGATGTTTCAAAAATCAAACTGCATGATGACATGCTCACCTGCAACCGTTTGGCAGCCTGGCCCAGAGACCTTTCAACAGCTTTAATACCATTTTCCAGCCGGAGGCTTTGTTGCCCCTGAATATCAATTTCCCCTTTCACTTTGTCGATCTTCTCTTGGACTTCTTCTTCGTTGACTTTTGACTCCTGCACTTCCCAGTGCAACTTTTCTGCCTCCAGGCCACTTTCCATGCTGTGAATCTGGGCCACATATTCCTTCAGCCTGCTCTCACAGTCCATGATTCTTTGCCGGATCTCCTGGAGCTGCTCTTTCAGTTGCTTCTCATTCTCCTGCTCAATCTGGAGCTCATTTTCCCAGAATTCCTCCTCCTCAATTTCTACCTCATTCCTTTTGATCTTCTGCTCCAGTTTGACAATTTCATCTTCCAGGCTGTAACTGTACCTCTGTTCCCAGTACTGGATCGCAGCATTGTTAGAGTCCAGCTGTTTCTCAATCGACTGAAGCTTCTCTGTCTGGAGGAGAATCAGTTTCTTCAGCTCGTCAATGGTAGTCTTGCAGCTGAGAACTTTCTGCTTGAACTCTGACTCCTTACCTTTGCCAAATATGTCCATTAATCCTTTTGCCCCACCAGTGAAAGTCAAAGATTTCCTCTTTGGTTCTCTTCTTTTTATTGCCTTGTCATTCTGGGGCCGCAGCTTGGCCAGGGGGGGTAAACTCTGCCGATACAAAGTTCTTTCAGGTATCCGAGCAACACTGTCAGAGGTTGGTCTCTCGCTGAAAGATGGCCCTGTGCGCCTTAAGACTAACTGCACATCACTGGCATATTGCCCCCATTTATTCAAGGAGATGATGGGGTTTTCATGAGGTGCCAGGTGCCTCTCGGTATCTCTCCATTTTTCTATCAAGGTGTACCTTCCTGTACGACCTAGAAGAGGAAAATCAGAGGTTGAAACAGTGTGCAATATCTAACACAACCCGACAGAGGGAGTAATTTGATAAAAAGACAGCTCCACCACAGCCAAGGAAGTGGGACAGTCTGTCAAACCATGGATTAATATTGGGGCCCATATTTGGAACATTTCCCGTGTTTATGTGAACTAAGAAAATGTGAGTGCAATTGTTTAAATTTGCACAGATTGTCACAGCACATTGCTGTTGTTAGACAGAACCTCTGTCCCTGGTTGTGTTTGCCCAGGCCAGTTTGAGAAAACACACAAAGCAGTCCTGTAGAGTAGAAGACCCAAAAAATAATTTACTAATTAATAAAGGAAGAGTACAGATATCAAGGGTTGGGACCCCTGAATACCTAACAGACTCTTCCGAGTGTTACAATAGGTGACATAGCATTTTATATTTCACATTACATCAGAGAAATAAAACAGAATTATTGGTTCCATCGCACTTTGTCAAATTTCGTCACCTATTTCCCATTGGGTTAAGACCTGGGGGACGGGTGTTTTCAGGCAGAGTTTTTCTTTTCCTAACAGAACAATACACTTTTCTTTCTTAAACTATGAAGTTCCAAGTTGTATCTATAGAACTGATATGGTTACAGAATGTTTATTGTTCTTCATTCTAGCTAGGTTAACTGACATCAGAAACATGCGCAGTTGTAGCTGGCCAGAACAAGCAAAGTCACATGTTTCAGCATTTTACCTTCCCAGCATGTATCCAAACAACAGTCACAAATGAACCAAAGTTAATACCTGAATACATTCATGATGTTAGAATAATAAATGGCACTTAACATATGCACCATGGAAGTGCTAAGTGCACCTATTAAGTTAAACCTGTTAGTCAGTGGCAGAGTACAAAGTGTTTCATTAACTGTGCATATAACAAATCCCCCCCTTTCTTGGTGAAGTGAAGATTTATAGTTCACTGACACCAAACGTAGCTCATTTTACATCTCTATTAATTCTGGCAAGCATTAGCATTCTTTCAGCTATGGGGAACTGTAGGCCGTGCAGCTTTGATATAAGAAACATACAAGTACAAAACACAATTAAAATATGTAACCGAGAACAGACTTTTGCTTAAATCCTGGACCAGAGGGTTCAGGTGCTAGAAGAGCTTTGCAAAAGAACACTTTTTAAAACAGCACTTTCAGTTCATCTTGCAAATTGTCTGGGACACTGGGCGCCCCCGACGTCATCTGATGTTGCTTCCTTGTTTCTTTGACTTCCATTGGGGCAGCAGTTCAGTGCAGTAAGCCTGACAGCAGCGTCAAAGATTACCAGTACCTGGAACAGGAACTGGCATTCTGAAACCTCTAATAAGATTAGTTATTTTGCTATTACACTTCTGGAACATGGAGAAGAAAGAGATTAAACTGATAAATAGCCTGAACATTCTCTTTTAACATTGTGTTTCTTATTTCTAGAACTGCCCCTTGCTATGCCATCTGGAAAGCCTGCTATGAATAAAAATCAAACAAAATAGACTAATCTTTTCCCTGGAAAGACCCTAGTGCATGTAGGTGAGGGGCAAAGGTTTGCGTGCATGAACAGGTATTTATGGCATTAAGCCTATCAGACAAAAGTTCTGTGGAATAGAATGAATGTGGTTCAGACAGTCTTTTTTTTTTTACTTTTCCTGGTTACCTGTACATCTCCTTCTATGTACTCTGATACAGATTCCAATAACTTACTTGGGCTTCATTCTTAAGAACTGACAGGATACGAGTATAGTGAGGTGATGTACATTCTTCCAGTCTCTTTCCTCTAACCAAGTTTTCAATAACAGGTTTCAATCCTGGATGACCTTCTGTTGAAAAGGAATACTGACGGATTTGAACAGGGGATCTCCCGGGCTTGGAGCTCCCATTTTACAGGCCAGGCAGATGTTTGACAACCTCCCTGCACACTGCAAACAGGTGGCAACGCAAATATGGGAGGTTTATTAAGAGGTTTTTTGGGGGGGGACTGCCATACCACTTAGGTCATGGGCTGTGCTTGGCTTGGTGGGTAACAAGTATTGCAAACTGGCAATAAACTTTGCCTTGGTGGCTTTCTAAACAAAGGTATCTTATTCCTCAAACTCAGAAAATCTTGGGTGTGGGGAAAGGAGAAACAAAAAAATAATTTTTGCTTTCCCTGGTTAAAATGGCAATCTGAAGCCACAAATAAGAGCAGAATTCAGCATCAGAGCTGCTAAACAGGGCAAAAATGTGAGGATCCATGCTAACATGCCACAGAGTTCACCTCATGGTGTTCTGGTGATGTCACCCCATTTGGCTTTGTGCTTCCTTAAAAGGTAAAGGATCCCTTGCTCGAAAGCCAGTCGAATCCGACTCTAGGGTTGCGGTGCTCATCTCCCTTTCAAAGCCGAAGAGCCAGCGCTGTCCGAAGACGTTTCCGTGGTCATGTGGCCGGCAACCACTTAGCACAGCCTGCAATTTCAGGCTGGTTTGTCATAAAATTGGCTATTACAGTACTAAAAAAAATGAACCAAGAGAAATAAGGGGATAATGACTGAATTTGCAAAGTATAGTGGATTAAGGAATTAAGAATAATGCAGAACAAACAAGCCACTACTCATGACTTGGATTACAGTTTTGTATAATGACTCTGAGCTTCCATAAGAAACTGGTGTTCTGGTTTACAAAAATTATCAGAGAGGGAGGGAGGGGGAAATGAAAGGGAAGGAATAGAGGAGAGGGGGGAAAGGAAGGGGGGGGAGAGTGACTAATTAGACCTGGTCTCCATTCTAAACCCATCATACACTGGCATTCCCGTAGCAGG